CTCCCCACGTCGCCAGTCCCGGTGCGGGCAGCTGGCTGGTTCTCGGGGAGAGCCGCGCTGGGTCCGCCCTTGCCCTGTGGAGACCCGGGGGGCCCGGCCTGCTTCAGCTGGCTAAAAAATCCTTTGCAGTGGGATTTTTTGCCTTCCCAAAGCAATACAAGACGCAATGCTCCCCTTGCGCAGTGGACTGAGCAGCGACATCACTTCTGTGGCTCCCGGGAGCGTTTCTGGATCACCTGCTGGATCACAGTGTGGGTTTTTCATGCAGGCCTGATGGATTCAGTGGGATTAAAGGGCCTACACCTAAGTAAGAAAGAGGACTTGGAGAGTTAGAGGTTTTTTTCTTTAATTCTTTCCAGTACAAAATATGAGCATGCATTTGTTCCTGCCCCACAAGAAATCAAGTGCTATGTTAAGGAAACATGCAGAGGGTTGGGAAACCAGAGCACAGCAAGAGCAGGATATTGATTCAGTTTGAGCTCTTCAACCTTTGAGCTGTAGCAGGGGCCTAGATTAAAGTCCAAAAATCTCTCTGCAAATCCCTGTACGAATGGAGCTCATTTAAAAGCTCCATCTTGCTGGTACCCCATTAAAGCAATACCCCTATGCAGGCATCCTCCCTAGATGAAGCTTCTACCCCTCATCTAGGGTTTACCTTTGAAAGAAAATTGGCAGCAAAGCAGGAGCTAACTCACCCATGATGGGAGAGGTGTATGATAGCAACCTGTGCCTCCTGGAAGATTTGGGAGAAGGTGTGGTGTTGTTTTAGCAGTCCCCAATGGCAGATGCTTCTTCTCAGCCGCAACTTGGGCAGCTCTCTGCTTGCATTTGTCCCCCTTGCATGGGAGGACCCACATGACAGTGTAGCAGGCATTGAATTTAAACCTCACCTTTCTGCCCTAGGATCTCCTGTTGGCCTCTCCCCAGATTTCAGCAAGGCCATGCAGTCCCCAGCTCAGCCCACTGTTTGAGTCCTTGTGTCCTACGATAGGGTCAGTGGCCTTGCGTTGGAATCCCCAAGGTGAGGAGAGGTCAGGAGACAGCAGATAACAGGAGCGGATCTAAAGCTTCTGGAGATCCCAGCTTAGACCAGGGGAAAGCAAAAATACCTTCCCAACACGCGCAGAGCAATAGCACACAGGTTGGCCTGTTGTCATCGCTGCAATATCAGCACAATACACAAATATTTCCAGGCAGGGTCGACCTTTGCTTTGCTGTTCACTGTTGCCTCCTCCCCGGAGCACCAGAAGACAGTGGTGTTTCCACTGTCAGGAGGGAAGAATCTAAGTGCACTACTGAGAATCCTGTTTTGGACTCAGCCTCCTTCAGATGTTTTTCTTCCACTTTGGCAGCATATTAAGGGCTGGAAAGAGGATGGCTCCTGCAACTCCAGCAGCCTCTATGTGCCAGGTGCATAAGACATTTCCAGCTAGGTAATTAAAATACAGGTTTTCCTTGTCCCTTCCTTCTCCAGCTGTGTTTTCACTTCCAGTGGCACCTACTAATCCGTGCTCCTTCCCCTGATAGTCAGGGGAGCTTGGACTAAAAACCTCTGCGGCGGCCTCAGCACAGTTGGGTGCAGTCAGGAAGAAAGATCCTCCCTGTCTGTATGGGTCCTCGGAGCAAATTCTGATTTTCTTGTAAAGCCAGAGGGAAATTTCTCAGGATCTGGGTGTTGCAAAACCTGCAGTTCCCCAGGCATGCACTAAAGTTTGCTAGGCTGCTGCTGTTGTGTGGAAAATGTAACACTCAGCTGTGAAAAGTGACTTCTTGTTTGTGTCTGGGGGAGGCATCACCCTGCAGCTGAGAGCATCTTTTGGCAGATAGCAGGCAACTCTTCCAAGCAGCAACTTCCTCAGCACACGCAGGCTCACGGAGCAGGGAGAGCGCAGGGGAGCAGGGCACAGCCAGCCTCTTTCACCCCAGGGAAGGGTTTGAGTGCCCAGGTGCAGCAGCTGGTCTCATAAAAGACATTCTTTGTCCCTACAGACCTCCATTATGGGAACAAGCAGTGAACTTCATGTGGAGGAGAGCAGATCTAACACCCTGTCCTTTCGGAAGTATGTGAGCTGTTGGATGCAGCATCCAGGCTGGCCAAATGAGCGATAGACACAGCAAGGAGAAGACAAAACAGCTCATTAAGGAATGGTCTCATTACAGAACTCATAACAGCCACATCCATTCTGTGGTCTGGGACTTGTGGCAGTGCAGAGGAGATCAGTCTCGTCATTGGAAAAGGGAACAGGAGTAGGTCTGGACACCTCATTCTTAAACCAGCCACTCTACCTGCCCACCCCTCCATTTCCTCCAAGGACCATCACCAAACAGAAGGAAACGGCTTTGCCTGCGCTGCTGGGTGCTCAGAGGTGCACAGAGCTCCTCATCTCCCTCCAGCCTTTGCATGTGCAGAGCTGTGACTGCTTCACGTGCGAAAGGAGAGGGTTCCCTCTGCACAACCCGTGATGCTGGGGCTTCATGGCTTGCAAACATCAGCGGCAGAGGAGATAAAGGAGACTCACATCCCCAGCCCTGCCGTGGAACCTCAATTCAAAAAGTACTTTGAGACACCCGGGGAGAGGCAGAGAAGGGCAGTCCTGCTGCTTCCACGTTTGGCCCTGCTGGTTCAGCACCTCATTTCTATGAGGTCATTTCAGTTTTCTCTGCACTTTTGCAGCCCTTAATTGTCACATTTGCTGCCTACCTTTCCCAGCCCCAAAGCTGTCCCAGAGCTGCTCTTTCATATCAGCCAGGGACTGCCCAGTTCGGCTCGCTGCAGGATCTTCGCAGCACGCTCATCACATGCTGCCGTCTGACTGCCTCCCAGCACAGCCACCATCTCAGGGCCTGGGCTTGAACAGCTCTTGAAAAAGACGTACAGTTTCCGAAATCAGCATCTATGCAGAGCTGCAGGGCTTGTGTGGTGATGCAGTGGTATTTTTGATTGACATCTTTGACTTCAAAAGCTGGTTTTCACAGAGTTAAGTGGCAGCACAAATTACTCATCAGGCTTGAAAATACAGGGCATGGAGAGTGGTTGAATGGCTTGGCCAAGATCCCACTGTCAGATCCCCATCTGGATCCTGTAAAATGAGATGAATCCTCCTGGCTGCTCCCAGGGCTTGGAGGGCACAAGGGCCCAGTTTGTTTAGCACTGTACCAGTGAGGGGACTAGCTGATCTGATTGTGTTGCTAAAATGTGTGAAAAGTACTTTGAAATGGCAGGATCAAAAAAAAAAAAGCACTCATTAACAGCACTGAGAAACCTTCCTGTGAGTGGGAGAGAAGTCAGTGTTGGGAGGATGAATCGCAGCCAATCTCTGACACTGTGTGACATCTGTCCCCACACCACAGGCCATCGTGCCACCGGGATGGGTAAAAAGAGAGATTTAAGGCACAACACACACCTTCCATGTGTGTTTGTGGCCTTTTAAGTTACAGTTCTGCTTTTTCAGTGCTTAAGGTAAGGTACATTTTAAAGCTTTTCCTTGCAATTCCCAAGGTGAGACGCATGCTCTTTAGATGAAAGCTATGATCTTGCTCAAACCCTCGCCTCCAAGAACCAGGGCAGCTCCCCAATATTGTGTGAGCGGTGATTAGGAATAAGAGGCGGCAAAAGAAAGGACTGAAAAACAGAACTGCAAGGCCTCAGACTTTGCATTCACAGATTTTTAAGGCCAGGAGAGACTGTTTGGTGGACTGACCTGTGTAACGGGGACCATTCCCACCATGCCACGTCCTTGTTGGGGCATGGGGTGAGGAGAGGAGCAGGGCCGGAGAGGTGGTTTAGGAGCGTGTAGGTGACTGCCCAGAACATCCCATCCCTCCCAGTGATGCAGAGCGCTCCAGTCTTGGAGAGGTTGTACTTCAGGGCAGCTGTGAAGCTCCTGGGGCGGATGGTGCTACATTGGGAAGGATTTGGGAGATGGATGGTGCTAGTTGAGCAGATTGTTCAGTCCCTGGGGACATCGGGGACAGGTTGGCAAGGTGTCCAAGTGGCAGGGCATGGGGTGACAGCCCATGGAGTGACAGGGGGTGCGTGGGGCAGCCTGTGGGGTGGCAGTGTGTGGAGACAGCATGTGGGGGACAGCCCATAGCTCCTGTGGGGCATGGAGGAGGGTGTAGGGCAGCCTGTGAGGCACGGAGGGGGGGG